TTATTATTATTACTAGTGACTGAGCCGTGACGAAAAATTCTGTGACTTTTCGGTTGAACTGCAGGCAGTGTTTACACATATCAGACGAGATCATTCCATGTTTTTTACTCTTATTTTTGTAAAATACATAAGCAGACACATTCTATTTTTGTTTTTTTCTATTCATGGCATTACAAATGTGAGAAGACAAGTTTTTCTCTACCTCTAAGCATGCTCGCGCTGCTTACACTAATCACTACGGCTACTGTTGTAAAAGAAAGAAATATCATAGGGAACATTGCAATGTTGTTTAGATGAAGGCATGTGCTCATGAACAGAAAGCAGCTGTGTGGTTTGGTCTATTTATGGTATTGTAACTGTAAGAAGGCATGTTTTGAGTTCCAGCTACTTCTACTTGTTTCCATGAAGGGAGACGATTCAGTCACACTGACCCTGCAGTGACTGACAATGTGACGGCAGCCTGTAAATTGCTCGGAGCTCAAAGAGCTAATCATCTCGGTTATGAACTTTAAGCCACATATTCTACATTAAATTTCATGATTGTGAAAATACACCCGAGCCTCGAGGGTTACGCGATTACAGAACAAACATCACACATCTTGTGGTTGAAGCCGAGGCGGACGTGGCTCATACAGCTACTGTCCATATTTATTTCTGACTCATTCTTACGTTTACAATAGTTACAGAAATTGTATACTGCAGGAAATGAGACACAATCCTTACCTGCAAATTAGAAGCTGAAAGGAAATTCTCTGGTGGAACATTATTGCGAAAAATTGGCGGCAACGGCAGACAGGACCCTTTCCGGCTAGCAACATTGCCATGACAACGATGTTGAGGACGGGGAAAAATGCTACATTAAACGAACAATCACCTGCCTATTCAACAACTTATTGTTCAATAGAAAATGTATTTAAAAATAGAAAAGGTTGTGATGTATTGTATTTCTAGCAAAAGGAATAGATTCAGCCGGAACAGACTTTGTTCTGGATGCAAAGCAAAGTCTGAATTTTGCGAAGCCCCGGTCGAGTCTCTCGTGACAAAATACCAGCCAGACGTAACCGAACTGAGCAAACGAACAGGACGCAACAATCAAAATGCAAAACTCTCACAATTGCACACAGTAAATCATCAATACGATCGACTATCCAACAAAACACTGACCTGAAACTCCTCCCGCAGTTGAGAGGAGTTACTCTGGGAATCCACTCGCAGCATCTCTTTGTACGTGACCGCAAACTCGTTCACCAAGATGGCCGTCTCTCCACAAAGGCAGGCCTCCAGAATGGCATCGTGGATGAAGATATACTGCTCCTGAAAGGACAGCAGGTAACATGAGTCACTGCTATGTATGTGTGGGCGAACATACGCGGCTTTCATACAACACATCGGAATGTGTTACGAGTTTGCAACGAGCTAAACAAACATTAGAGGAAAGGCTAGTTGAGACAGGAACATATGTACGTGTAAACAAACAGTCAAACCACATGAAGGATAGCAACGATTTTTCATAACCTGCCTTGTTCTGAATTAAACATGTGCTTTAATGTTAGCGTTGTATCAAGGCGGCTGGAGAATAAATAAATATTTTTTTGGTAAACAAACACATGCAGTGCGCATTTAATTAGCGCACCCCTGCAAATAACTACAAATGTAATAAACAGCTAAGTCAATATTGGATTTACATAATAAGGGGTGAATATGCAAATTATCTGCACATCTAAAGAACAGCACGTGCCTACGCAGCACACAGACAGACAATGAGAGTCTTTTCTCTAAAAGTATTGCAATGACCTTTACATAAGTCCCAGAGTGGGAGTATGGTAATACACCTCCCTCACTCTTTGAATTTCCAAACAACAGGAGGGAAAAACAAATGTTTAAAAACCGGATTCCTCTGAAGAAGTCTAGCAGAGAGAGGTGATCATATTATGGTCAGTGATGGTGAACATGAGGAATATGAGCAAGAAAACCTCTTTCTTTTCAAAGCAGCACTTTTTCTCTGTGCTGTGATTTTCCTTTATTCTATTTTTCCCCGTGTTTTAATCTGTATTGCTGTGAAGTACCCAAAGACAGATTTAGACCTTTTCGGTTCCTAAGGAGGACAGTAAAGCTGATCTATCTGTGTGCGGCTTTGTTATAATGTGAAGTGGTTTCCAGACTGACCTCCGTCTGGATCATGTTGATGCGTCGAGAGCAGAGCGTCTTCACGCAGTTGTAGATGTCCACCACGCCTTCGCACTCGGCCATGTCCAGCATAACATCCAGCACGATGTAGCAGCCGGTGCGGCCCGCTCCAGCGCTGCAACAAAAAGCCCATTTTGTGAGGAAGCATGCAGTCTTAAAAACATTACATGACCACTATTTCAAGTTACTAAAAATGCTGTTGCATTTCTGTGAGAGTACAGAATGTCTGCTCTTGAGTGGAAATTACTGTCAATACGTGAAATGATTTAAAAGAGTTTTAAAGGACCGCCGTCGCAATGTACAAGACAGTGTTGGCCAACCTTTTGAGCAGCTGTAGGGGCGAGCCGGGGAACTCTGCAGCCCTTTTCAAACAAGAAAATCTAACATTGCCGCTCCATTAAGCTCTTAAAGTGGCAACAGTCTGTCAGTCAAACGCTTTGACATCAATGTTTCTCGCAACAGAAACACAACAGTGACGGAGAGCCACAGTCGTAGAGTCGAACAGGCCAGAATAGAAAATACATCAAGTGACATAATGCGTAACAATATGCTGTTAAACAAAAAGCTAAATCTAAGCCGTGACAAATTATTCAACTGTAGCTTGTAAACTGTGTCACAACTTTTCTGTCTGACAGTACGCAGTGAAAAATGACCCGAGATCCTGACTGATCCTGTCTCCATCTCTAATTCCAAGTTAATAATAAAGCTACTTTTGTTGTGAATGTGCCCAACTTTCTCTCTTTGGAGACACTTTTATGGATCCTGCTGCTGTCTGATGCTGTCGGTATTTAATAAATTCAGAGGAAAGACTGCTACAAACAGCTGGAAGCAACAAATAAACTTCAGCCCCTGTTATTATCTTGTCAAAAGCTCGAGTGCATTTATTATGGATGAGTCTCAGTGATCTGAGCTGCTAGTCCTTGGCGACACCGCAGAGGAGTTTTATACATTTAATTTATAATAAGAATTAAATGAAAGCAAATGAGAAAGGGGCTTTATGATCTTGGCACATGTTTGCAGCCTCTGAGATGCTTTTTGGACCAATATTGGTGCTGAAATGTCTTCTCATAACCCAAAGTAGCTCACTTGTGCATGCCTATCCGTTATGGCGTGGCACGGAGTTCAGACTTGTGCTGTGCCAAAAGACGTGTGCAAATATTAGTAAGATCGCCATCGTGACTTTTATGGAAAAGCGAGCGGGGTGCTTATTCAGACAAGATGTTCAGATGACGTCAGATTAACAGAAAGAAGGGAATGTTTGAAACGGGTAGTGTAAAAGTAGTGTCTGGGATGTTTTACTCCTGGGATTCTACCCTTGAATAAGATAACAACCACATTGCTGGGTCGTCTGTAAATGTATTATTAACAATTATGAGAATGAATGGAGAAGACTTTACTCAACATGGGGGAGAGACCTCACTCCTTTCTCCCCCAAGGAAGAAGTACAATGCAACAGCATTTGTCGTGAATAAAATCTTTTCCTATTGGCTCACTGTAGCTAGATTGTAAACATTATGGCATAGTGGTCATACCATGTAAGAAACCTGAGGTCACCTTCCAAAGACAAAACCCTTTTAGGGGTAAACATATCGACTCCAGTGGACCTCAAATCTTGACCTTTTTGACCCCTTGGTAACT